CCCATCGACTCGTGTGCCTACGTGCGTGTGCGCTTGATTAGTGATGGGGAGGGGGTAGTGAGGGAGGGGTGTAGAGGCGCGTGACCCAGTAGCAAACTGCGTCTGCCCGAGGGTACGACAAAGGCATAACAACAGAAGAGGCCGAGGTTGCCGACCCTGACTGGCGCGAGCCCCGGACGAGACTGTCGAAGAAGAAAGAGCGAAGGGTCCCCGCATGCGCGTTGCATCGGGGCAGGGGGAGGGGCAGGAAACGGGGGAACGGGTGCGTGTTTGCGGCTCTCGTTGTAACGGGGCGGGGGGGGGGGGGGGGAGGACGACGACGACTACGCCGACTACGCCGACGACGACGACGACGACGACGACGACGACTACGCCGACGACGACGACGACGACGACTACGACGACGACGACGACGAGCAGCAGTGGTAGCTGCAAAAAGAAGAGCAGGAGAAGGAGAGAGCCCCATAACCTCAAAAGAAAGTCGCGAGAAAGCGTTGACTGCTTTTACATGGTGCTCGTGGTCCGCTATGGGAATGGGATGAGCGACCCTCGGGCTCCTCGTCGGAATTCGGCAAAGCGAGTACGCGCGCGATTTGCAATTTTCGTTGACCGAGGCGAGAGCCGCCGATTGGTGTCCGATCAATAATCAATCGAGGTCATCGAGTGCAAACGTGGAATGCTGCATCCACGAGTTCCAAGCGTCGTGCGGGCTAATGTTAATAAGCAAAAATTAAGAGAAAGAAAAGGGGGCTCTCGTAGTAGAAAGTAAATCGTGAGGCATCGAGACTCTGTTATTTTAGAGCCGCCATGGTCGGGGGAGAACGAAGGGTGAAGGCGGATGATGCTTGGATGTTTTGGTGCTTGTGCGTAAAAAATTTTGAATTGGAGGGTAATGGTGGGGCATGCGCTAGTTGAGTTTGGCAGGTAGAGCCGAATAGGTTTCGTTGGTCTTTAAATTTAGAAACGTCAGGCTTCTGTCGTTCGAGCACGTTGCCCACCGACTTTGATATCGTATTTGGGAAGATTTCACGTCTAGCCGGGGCGCGCAGCTTCGATTCTCGTTTTTCGCGCTACGGGCTGCGGCGCTACGATTGCACGATAAGATTACTAATCAGGAGTACGAATTTCTTGATAAGCAAATACCAACTTGCCGTAGTTATGCTAATGGAGCGGTGTGGGCCATAAAGGATTATGGGATCGAAGTAATAATCGTCGGTGTGGGGAAGAAAACCAGTTTGACTGCAATCCGATAATCCACTATGGTATAAAAAAGACTTTCATCGCATTCGCGACATTCGCACATCCAGGAGAATTTCCAAAGCGGCGTTTGCCCGTCAATTAGGCGCCTCTACGTAATTTACGAGCGAAGATTCTCTTTCAACGTCTTAGCGATATGTTTGCGAGACTCTCCGGACGCTCAGCCATGGGATGCAGTTTTTTTGTCGTTCGTTGATGTTGTTACCGTTGCTGGTGGTCTTTGAGTTCTTTTCTCCTTTATCATGGACATTAACGTTGCTGAAAATGCGCGAATCTTGCTAAAATGTACGTAATAATGTTTAACGACTACGAGAGCGGCAGACTTAAAACCTAATATAATATATATATATATATATATATATATATATGTGTGTGTGTGTATATATACTCTTGCGTAATATGAAAAATGCCCAATGGGTTTGATAGCGAGGCTCGGCGTGTTTTGAGCGGTCTCAGATGGTCGGCCGTTACGCGTAGAAAGCCATTAATTAAGTGGCCGGTCGGGTGACTTTCTACCCAATGTTTGCGAAATTTCTCCAAACTAAAATCACCGCCACTCTATTATGCGCAAACGACTTACTCTCGGCTTTTTGCTACAACGATCATTGTTCGGCCGCTTGGCACTTGGCGATGGGACAAGTCGGTCGATTAGTTACCAAACGAGACGAAAGAAAGTACGAGTGCAGGATTAAAAATTGTGAAAGGATACGGCGTCGACGCTCGATGCTCGATGCTCGATCTCCGAGTGTAAAATAATATTATGTACGTCGTGGGTAGACTCGCTCGTATACAAATGCATTTACTTGATCTGCCGAGTAGCTGGATCGATCATGCTGGTAATGCACGAATTCATAAATTATTACTATTATTATTCGATAACAAAGCTTTTTAATTGCTAACGATGATTAAATCGTCTCTGTGAGAAATAATAATGAAAAGCTGCTCGCAGCCGTTTATGTCTTACCTGCTTAGTCATTGAATTTGAGCTGCATTTGCATTTCCTGGTTACACGTAAATACGGCTTATCGTGAAAAAATACTCCAAGATCCGGAGACATAAAAGGCTTTTGTGTAGAATTGCGGAGCCATTGCTCTCGATGCCGTTTACGATGGCGGTGATGCCGTTACAATCGGAAAGTATTCCACGCACCCATGGAAATTGAGGTGAAGTTCATCTCTACATCGGATATACCGATAGCGATCATACTGATGCTGAAGCGAGATATCATTAATACTAGCCATTGTTTCTACTGGCCGAGTCCGCGTGACATTTGTAACGGCCGTTTTCGAAAGTAACGAAAATTGGAAAGGCAAAGTCTAGTTTTTCGCCATCACTTTATCGCAATTTTAGTAATGACAATGCTTGAAGGTTTGCTTAAAAAACATCATTGCTTTGACCTTCGTGAAATCTGATTTATCATCGAGCCAACGCAATGATTTACGAAACGTTGTAAGCGCGATATCGTAAAAAGGAATTTGCTCCAAACGTTAATACTTTATTGTTGTAATACGCTACGTTACACCTTACGTCTTGCAAACAAGCAATTACGAACGAACGAAACCTCGATTGAATTCTTGGTTAGTGGAACACAATAGCATCCACATGAGCCACATCATATAGTTTGGGAAAAAAAAAAAAAAAAAAAAAAAAGATTAAAGCGCTAATAACACCGAGACGCATTTAACATTAATGGTTTGAGCATAGCGCAGAGAACACCTTAGACGATGTATATCTCAAATATAATTGACTAACTGACCTACTAAAGTTTTTCTCGTCTAGTCATTATATATATATATATATATATATATATATATATATATATATAACTTTGTATTAATATAATAATAAAATATAAATTTTAATATTGATATTCGAATAATAAAGTTTCAATTGTTACTGTAAATTGAACGTAATTTATACGATTTTCTCTATTTTCCACTATTAATTATTTTTCGGGTAATTATCTAAACATTATTACGCAGAATCGAGTTTTAATATAATTTTATATAAACTATAGGTATAGAAGACGATAAATTTTTATTTCAACCCTTCCAATCGACTGGCGTTGATGCAATAAAATTTTAATTGAAAATATTTCGTTCATGTCGTAAACGTATTTCCTATAACAAAATGATAATTTTTATAATTAATCTGGTATAAAATAAGCGTGTTTTAATAGTTAAACGTTGAAATATGTGAGAATAATGTCAGATAAGTCACAAATATTAAATTAAATCTACCCATCGTTAAGCAAATCAATCCATTCCGATTAATATAATATTTATTTTCTAATATCAATGCTTATTTATTACAGATTTTTTTTTTCAGCATTACATTATTCATGGTTATTTCATTAATATTGTAATAATTTACAATCATCGACGAGCTTACTAAATCTAATCGCTTTTATCATCTAATGATCATATACAATTCCAATGAGCATTAACAATTATTTTATGAACCTGTGTGAGGCTCGGAATAATAAAATCGTTATGCAACATTAATAGGACAAAACTTGAGATTAATGAGCTGCTTCAAATCGCTCTTACTAGCATCTATTTTTCAATAAGTATCCAATTGTTTGTTATCAATGATTAATGAATTTTATTTTATAATTTAAAATTTTTATTAAACTTTTATTGCGATTTAAACGCATAATTATTGGAAAGAATATTGTAATGTTATGGGGAGCACTTACTACAGATACGTAAACTAAATTTAATTAACGATAATTTTTAGAATCACATACTCGCCATCACATTAACGAAAGATAATATTATGTCTGTAATTATGTAAATGATAATTAAATTTAACCTGTCCACATTGTTGTTAATTAAATGACCCAGTGAGGAGAAAGTGAAGAATTTTTTAAATTTTTTGCACAATCATATACGATCAAAAAAACAAAAACAAATAAATAAATAAATATCCGAAAAGCTAATGATAACAATATTTGCTAATATGCTTATTTTATTAAATCATTTATCGATTTATATCGAAATAACTAATGCTTGAATTACAAAAAAAAAATACTTTCTCTTGTCTTTAATTTAATTTTAATTTATCGTAATCGTGTAATAATAATCAATTAGATGGTATAATGGTATAATGATACAAACGAGCGATAAAAATAATACAATATACGGTATTTAAAATATTATAGTCCTCCATTGCTAATCTACTTACTACACACGTAATAATAGTACATGCTTTCCTTCTTCTTCTTCTTTTTTTTTTTTTTATCAAGTATAATTTATATAATATATTTTAAAGGAATACATAGTATTGAAGATGCATGTATATATATATATATATATATATATATATATATTTATTTATAATTTAATTTAGAGTTTATTATAAGTTTATACCCAAACGATAGTATATTATTTGTTCAACAAGCAGCTGTAATTTATGTAAACTACTTTACCTACAAAGCACGACACTTGATCGATACGATCCCATTATTTTCTATAGACTGACCGTAGGTGGCACAAATGCACAAATGTTTTGATAAAGAATATCAAAAGTTTTGAATATATGTAAAATTTTGTGATCCGACTCTATAACGTAAGAAGACTCGAGAGAAAGGAATGAGAAATTTCATTGGCGTTATATTCCTAATATCATAACAAAGTATGTAAGGTTATATAATATTTTTATTATCATTTACTGTAAATAATTTAATAATAAGCTCGTTTTGATACAAGGAGAGTCCATAAAAGCTACTAAAGTAAACATTGTACAGCATACATTATAGAAAATTTTTAAACAATGTAAATGGATTGAAAGTGTTACATAAATACTCATGAATTCTTAAAGTATTCTACGCAAAATATTCGTTTCCAAAGTTTTGCTCGCTTTTGCATGTGTTAGCAGATTATTTGTCAAGCACAGTAGAGTATAATTATTATTAATGTAAAGCGAATGAATAACTAAAGCGTATATTTTTAATATCCTAACAGGATGAGCGAACAGAATTTTCCACGCTTACAAAATGATAGTATTTTAAGAGCAGCGAGGGGCGAGCCCGTCGATACTGTTCCAGTGTGGATAATGCGACAAGCTGGTAGATATCTACCAGAGTTCAGAGAGTTAAGAGCCAAGCACGACTTCTTTAGTATTTGTCAAACGCCGACACTGGCTTGCGAAGTAACGCTCCAGCCAATTAAGAGATTTCCCTTAGATGCCAGCATCATTTTCTCTGATATACTGGTCATTCCGCAGGCCATGGGACTTGTAGTTGAAATGAAACCGGGCATTGTAATAAAAATAACTTATGCCACTTAATTTGTATCGTTGAAATAATCATCTTGCAGTATCGATCCCTTTCCCTTTTTCTGTTATTTTGATTTATTGTTTTTAAGGGACCCGTATTACCTGAACCTTTGATAGATCCGTCGCATCTCTCTAAATTAAGGATACCCGACGTAGAGAAAGATTTGGGTTACGTTGGCGCTGCTATTACACTGACCAGACATAGTTTACAAGGAAAAGTACCACTAATTGGTTTCACCGGCGCTCCTGTGAGTCTTCTTTAAACCTATCTTAAGCATGTTATATAAATATAAAGTAGTAGAATAATCCGAGGAATAAATTCATATATTTGAAATTTGAATTACAAATTTATCAGTGGACTTTAATGGGATACATGATTCAAGGTGGTGGAAGTTCTACCATGGCACAAGCCAGAATTTGGCTCTACAAATATCCAGAAGAATCCCACAAATTATTGCAAATGATTACAGATGTTATTGTGGATTACCTAGTTATGCAAGTTAAGGCGGGTGCTCAGGTCCGTAGGGATGCTATTATCACAAATGAAACATACATTTGAATTATGTACACATGTATTTAAATACACGTTAAAAACCGTATGTTTTTATTTTTTATTTCTTACAGTTATTACAAGTTTTTGAGAGTCACGGAGATTTTCTAAATACCGAATTATTTAAGGAGTATTCCCTTAAATATTTCAAACAAATTCGTGATAAAGTAAAGGAGAAGCTAGAAATCCTGAATGTTCCAGCAGTACCGATGGTAAATCTTGTATGTAATAATTTTTATTGACGAAATTTCCAAATTCATTCAAGCGGTTAATTTGTTACCAGATTGCATTCCCTAAAGGAGCTAATCTTGATTCTATAGAGATATTTGCCAAAGAAGCTGGATACGAGGTAATAGGCTTGGATTGGACCATCGATCCAATCGAAGCTCGAAAGAGAGTAGGACCGAATATTACTCTTCAAGGGAATATGGACCCTACAGCCTTGTACGCAACAACGGTAAACATTAAGACTCCATTCATCAATATATAACAAAATTATGACTTTAATAATTGAGCAACGTATAGACTGAAGTATAATAAATTTCATTAAATTCAAGGAAAGTACCTCATTAGCACTCGAGCACTCGCATAAGCTCACATTAAGCTTCGTTAAAATATCGAGTCACAGACTCAAATACTTTCACAATCCAGCTATAGCTTATCGATCATTATAAAATAAAGGCGAACAACAACTTGATGTATTTTTTTTTTTTAAAAATTTATTTTATTAATTAAATAATAAAATAATTTATTAATTACAGGAGAAAGTACGTCAGAGAGCTGAAAACATGGTGCGTGAATTCGGGAAAGGTCGCTACATCGCTAACCTAGGTCATGGAGTATTACCGGATGCACCAATTCCCTCAGTCGAAGCATTCATCGAAGGCATCCATTCTGTATAACAGAGCTGTGCTGTGATATTGTTTTTACTCTGTACTCGACTTAATACGACGTTTTGAGAAATGTCAAATGGTTTTATATTAAAAAAAAAAAACAATTGTTAAAAACAATATGTGAAAAGTAGAAGGTATATTAAGTAAATTTAAAACAAAAGAAAAATGCAAATTGTGTTGGGCATTTATTTGTTTTTTTTTTTCTTAAATTTTTTTTTTTTTTTTTTTTTTTCCTCGATATAACAACTGTAGCCTCGGCATTGTCAAACTATATATCATCTCGATGGGAAATTTATAGACTATTTTAAATCGTACGCTTAAAATACTTTATTTTCACGATCTAATATCTAATTTGTGTTACGCGAATAAATTCCGTCTCATTTCGAAAATCGTAGCCTGGTTCCTTTTCACTTAAAACGCTAATATAATCCTTTATACATGGCTTTGCGAGTGGCTTATCACAATATGTATACACTAAGGTTCCTTAAAGTCATACGCGTCATTTGAATCGCCATTAATAGAAAGATTGGAAACGATAAACGCTCCACACGCGCCATTTGTAATTTCTCACAATCGTACAGCTGTTTCGATACAGTTTGTCCCTCAATTTATACTTTCGAGAGTTTTCTTCAGTTTATAACATATATATCTAAGTGGTAAATAGGTATTATGCTACATTATTTACAAGCCAATTCTCTTTTATATCATCGTACAATGTGACACATTCTCTCTTTATTATTAATTCGTAAAGCTTATCTACGAACAGCACGAATTATTTCCAAAGCTTCTCTCTTTTGCGCAATCAATAATCAATGTATAAATTATAGAAAACGAGGAAAAAAAAGAGAAAACGAAAAAAAAAAAAAACACTAAAACGTGCAAGGAATACAATATAAAGATACAAACGTCGATCGCTTTTTTTTTTTCCAAGGTTTGATAAACAAGAAGCGTTAACGCTTAGGTCGAATCGAAAGAGAGATCTTAGGAATCGTGGAATGAATACAACAATAATAACAAACAACATTTTCGGAGAAAAATGTTTTTCTTTTAAAAAATTCCCCCATCCGAAAGTCGTATTTTTCATTTTTATCGACGATCTCTTAAATTTACCGTGAAGAAAAAACATTTTAAACCTTGAGAAGCGTCTTACATTAGACGCGTGACCTTCGAGACCGAAAATAATATTCAAGTAACACTTCATTCACGGATTGTATTTTATTTTCCAGCATGAAGTAGCACGAATAGAACAAAACTATGCTTATCAAATGTTGGTATTGAATAATCTATCGACGAAACGTTAAAAGGTTTTTAAAAAAAAAAAAAAAAAAAAAAAAAAAAAAGAGTTTAAACAATAGCACTCCTTACTACCTCATCTCTATTTCATATCAAAATAATTATAATTTTAAAGTAAATCAATCTAATCGTAAGTCAAAGCTAATAAACATTTTCCAATGAACTGCAACTATATATAGTTACTCTTTTTTCTTTTCTCATATTAATTCTATAAACTTGAACGACATCTAATATCAAGTATTAACATTTCGAATGGTTAAACGATCGATTAACAATTTTTTCAATACCAACGACGAACACTTGCTCTTTCCATACACAAACGAAGAACACAGTAAATACAGCCAAAAGTAAAAAATAAATATTATATCTCTTGCAATGTTCTCTCACACTCACACTCGGTCTCTGTCTCTTTTACGAAAGTTCACCGTCACTTTAGCCTCTTTCGCAGAACGTGAAATTTGCTTACACTGGCATTATCGATTTGCACCTCGAAACCGTGGTGTTGCCGATCTTCCATCACCTCCTCCTCCTCCTCCTCCTCCTCCTGACCCTCCTGCTCCTCGTGCTCCTCGTGCTCCTCGTGCTCCTCCTCTTCCTCCTCATCGTCTACTACCTGCTCATCGAGGTCCTCATCATCGCCTTGCGCATTATCGATTTGCACCTCGAAACCGTGGTGTTGCCGATCTTCCACCTCCTCCTCCTCCTCCTCCTCCTCCTCTTCCTCTTCCTCCTCTTCCCGTTCTTCTTCCTCCTCCTCCACCTCCTGCCCTTCTTCAACTTCCTCCTCCTCCTCCTCCTCCTCATCCATCTCCTCCTCCTCCTCCTCCTCCTCCTCCTCCTGACCCTCCTGCTCCTCGTGCTCCTCGTGCTCCTCGTGCTCCTCCTCTTCCTCCTCATCGTCTACTACCTGCTCATCGAGGTCCTCATCATCGCCTTGCGCATTATCGATTTGCACCTCGAAACCGTGGTGTTGCCGATCTTCCATCACCTCCTCCTCCTCCTCCTCCTCCTCCTCCTCCTCCTCGTCTCCTTGGCTCTCAACGATTGCCTCATAATCCTCAAGGGCAAAACCCGTGCCATCCTGGAACACGTATTGGGCCATATCATGGACCGAGTCGTCGTTCTCAAGATCGGCCATATTGCGTTCGATGAGAATCTGATTGCCATCGGCGTCGTTAGCGAGCATAAGGACGGTGCCATTAAGATTGTGCATGTCATTTTCGTCAACCTCGAGCACCTCCTCCTCGTTCATACCATGCTCCACACCTTCTTCCTGCTCCTGCTCCTGCTCCTGCTCCTCCTCCTCCTCCTCCACCGCCCCTTCTTCCTCCTCTTCTTCGACCTCGTGTTCCATATGGTCTTCCTGCTCCTCGCCCTCTTCGACTTGCTCTTGCTCTTCCTCCTGTCCCTCTACCTCTTGCTCTTCTGCTTCCTCCTGTTCCTGTTCCTCCTCCTCCTCCTCCCCCTCCTCCTCTTCCTCCTCCTCCTCTTCCTCCTCCCCTGTAAGTAATTACCACATTTGAATTTCACCAAATAACTACTACTCGTTTCACATGGCTAAGCAATATCATTTTTAATACTTTGATTATAGGGTTAATAATATAGTTTAATACATTTTAACTACAGTTTCTGTATATAAAGCGTGAAAAACACTTGAACTTGAATCACGACAACAATTCAAATGTCTCTCTTTGCTACTATCATCAATGCTTGTATTTGTTTTTTCATTCTTATCTTACGTCTAATAAAATTTAAAAATGAAAAAATTAAAAAATTAAAAAATTAAAAAATGAAAAAATTGTAAAAAAGAACAGCATGAAAATGTGTCGTTAAAAATGTGTCGCATGCTCAGGGCCCTGAATCACAACCTTCATCCTCAGCATTTCATTTTCATTGCTCATTATTTGCAATTGCATTAAAAAATCTCCATTGCAAAACAGAAACCAAATTTGTCAATATAAATTAAAAGAAAAAAAAATTTAAAAAAAAAAGAAGAAAAAAAACCATAGCTACACCTTTACCGTAAACCGATAATAAAAACTGAAATATACCTAAAGTTATATTGCAACTTCGTAGTGTATAATAGCTGAATGAAATCACCTTCATTACTGCTCCTTGAGTTATTGTCTGCGTGAAAGGCGCTGTTGGGATCAACGATCTCGGCCTGCTGCACCTCTTCCTCTTCCTCTTCTTCCGAGACTTCGACTTCTTTCTCTTCTTCAATCTCCTCCACATCGCTACTGTCCTCCTCGCTTTCCTCGCTCTTATTCTTCTTACGACTTAAGGAATTGCCAAGAGCACGACGTCGAGCGCTCAACTCATCCTGTCTGTCGTTCATCTGGCGCTCATTGCTGCACTGCGACGTTACTACTAGAGGCATTATCTGGCTAAGTGCCGGGGGACCCTCGTCGTCCGAATAACTGGCAAGCACGGACTCGTGTTTCTTCTTGTCATAGCTCTCATCGTCCTCGGACTCGGACATGGCCTCGTACCTAGTCTTGTCGTCGGGACTCTCGACCTCCTCTTCGTCATCATCATCCCCGATGCTCATCGTCTCATTCTCTTCGACTTCAGGCTTCCCATCGTGCTGCTGCTGCTGCTGCTGCTGTTGCTGCTGCTGCTGCTGTTGCTGCTGTTGCTGCTGTTGCTGTACGCTATCCGAGTCTTTGCTATTACTGCTATCGTCATCGTCGCTATCATCATCGTCATCGCTGGAGCTGTTACTGTTACTACTGCTATTACTATCCGAGTCGTTGGACTTGTCGGAACTGCTGTCGGCGTTCTCAGAGTTCTCGTTATCCTCATTCTCCTCATCCTCGTCCTCCTCATCCACCTCATCCTCGGACTCGTACTCATTATCCTCGGGCTCGTCCTCGTCACCGATAAGACTTCCCTTCTCCTCGCCCTCGTCCTTCATAGGCTTATCGGGACCGTGGTCCTCGCTCTGCGCCCCGAGACAGACGCCAATGTGCTCCTTTAGTTTCTCGTCGTTCTCGAAGCTCCTGTTGCAGCGCTGGCACATGGAGTTGGCCGCGCAGTTAATGTGAATGCTCATGTGAAGGAGAAGCTTGCTTCTGGCGTTGTGATAGCGGCCACATATCTTGCAGGTAAAATTGTTGCCCGCGGTGGAGAGGATGGCAGGGTGAGCGCAGCGTAGATGCTCCGCGAGGTCCTCGTAGGTGGCGCAGAGCTTGAGGCAAACGCCGCAGGTGACTGCCGCCTCGGCCCTGTGGAATCTGATGAGATGCTGCCAGAGATGTTTCTTGGCGGGCCACTGCTTGCCGCAGACCTCGCAAGTGCACTCGGTGTTGGTCGACTCGTCGTAAACCTTACGCGAATCCTTCCTCGAATACTTGGACGACTTGGACGAGGAGTGACCGAGGGGCATGAGGCTCGGCACTGGCTTCTGACCCGACAGCTGCATGTTTATGTCCTCGAAGAGATTGAAGTCGGGGATGTTGAGATTCGTTTCGCAGAGGACCGGTTCGGGATCCTCGCGCTTCACCTGATTATTGTTCTTAAGGTGGGCCTCGAGGATCGACGTTGATCTGCGAGTGCACACACTTATGTGACCGAGGTACAGCGTCTTGGTGCAGAACTGCTTTTGGCAATTCTTGCACTCGTAGTTCTCGCGGTCGCGAGTCTTCTTTTTGGTCTTGGCAGCGGGCTCGAGTCGCATTTTCTTAAACATTCGCGTGGGGTCGGTGTTGTGGACATTGCGGTAGTGAGAAGAGAGAAGCTCGTGGTTGAGGAATATCTCTGGGCAGATCTCGCAGTCATAGGTGTCGCCGAGGGAGCGTCGCCTCTTGGAGTCGTTGGAGTTGCAGTTGTCCTCGTCAAAGGGCTCCATGTCAAAGTCCAGCTCTTCAGGCTCCTCCTTGACAACGACCTCGAGGGGTCCGAGGTCGTAGTCGTCCATTTTGCTGCCGGCCACCTCCAGCCTATACTGGAACGCGTCCAGCTGATCCTTCGGAATGTTATGTATGTGCTCGTAGTGATAGCGCAGGTCCTCGTCGGAGGTGAAAACAGCGAGACACTGTTTACAGGTGCGGAATACCTTGCCGTGGCACTTCTTCGTATGGTCGAATGCCTTCCATTTCGAGGCATACTGCTTACCGCACACCTGCAAGTACATTTACACTTTGTAATTTTGCATGTCCACCCAAGCCAACCTTTTAATTAATGCGGGTTTACTCAACTGCAATATTTAGTTTTTTACATTTAATAAGTTCAACGAAAGTACGAAATATGAACCATCGGAATTCGTGATCTGTTAACTTAATTTTTATTCGAGACGATTGGACTATTTTGATATCGTATATTCATAATATATTTTCAGAAATTTCACACAATAGCTCAAATTAAATATTGTGAATTTGATTAAGGAGTGTTACGAGCTTCATAATGCATCATTAATTAACGAATAATTTTAATTTCGTACTGTCAAGGAGATATTTATTATTTATTATGCATTATTGGTAATTGGCAAGGAAGACTTTAGACCCAAAACGAAAATGTTTATATCTTAATAAAACTTTCAATCGAGTTTATCTTTATTAAATTAAAATATCATTATTAAGTATCTTTCGCTTATAATACTAAATGATTGATTAATGTTAATATCGTTAGAATCAGTTATGATTATCGATTCTCTGATTTTTACCAAGAATCGATAAAATGAAAATAGTGATGCTAATTTGATGAATGTAATTAATTCCATAAATACGAATGCATAAATACGAATTATAAGCTAATACCAAGTCAGCATTTCATTATCCGAAGGCATTCGGTAAAATTCAATTATTCGTAAATAAACGAAGAGCTAAAGTTTTAATCGTGTTTTATGTGTTACACAATCAAATAAAGATTCGTGCCATTTGGTAGGATATACAAAAATATGAATTGTAGAGATCAAGTATCTTCGTGTTTATTACTCACAACGAATGGAAATAGGGCAGAAAGATGCTTATAATATTTCTCTCAAGGTCCTATAAATATTTCAATAATAATTCCGTGTCTATGCAATATTATTGCTTTTCTGGAATTCATTTCAAGTCTCGATATTTTACACTACAAAATATCCATTATTTGTTACAACATATTTATACGATAAATATTACGATATCATTGCAATACGCCATACATCTACATTTACTATTTTAATCGTTTCAATAGAATATAATCTTTATTGATATTTCAATTATAATCTTATAATTTTATTTATTAAAAATACGATCTATTTGGTTAAGTGCTTTTTTTTTTTTTTTTTTTAATTAAATAATATTAATAATCCATTTTTAATGCCATTAAAGTATTTTCTAAATAATTAAATAAAAATTATACTATTACAAGTAGACGAAGATACAAGCAATAAATGTATAGCTTCTCTATTATAAGATCATGAACTTTCATCGTTTCATTTCTCATATTTTCTATCCCATCACTGTAATTAATAATCAAACAGTTGAATCTTTTACAATCTACATAAATATAAATATACTCTTTAAATATTTATGTATTTCAAGTTTGCTACAATACGCTTAACATTTTTTTGTTTTTAACCTGATCAATAATGGCTATGCAACATCAACAAATCGCCCTTTTGTCATTAAAAAAAAAAAAAAAAAAACTTACCTGACAGGTATTCGGTTTCAGCAGTACGCTCTCATGGACATCCTCCACGTGTTTTTTCAGATCCTTGGGATCTTTCATAGGTATGAGACAAACGCCGCAGGATACGCCAATCTCGTTCCTATGCAAGCTCAGTATGTGCATTTTAAGCTTGAGCTTATTTTCCACGGTGTCACCGCAAAAGTCACAGACATTCGGACTGCCATGGTGCTTGTGATCCTTACGATGGGACTCCAGGTCCTCCTTAGTCCTAAAGAGCTTGCGACAGTTCTCAAGCTCGCACGTGAGGTCCGGATGGAGCATATGGTGCACGCGATTGTGCGTCATTATCCCCAGCTTGGACGTTATCGTCTCCTTGCACAAGTGGCACTCGTACGAGCTGTGATGGTTCTCGATGTGCTTCTGCAAGCTCGCGCGATCCTTGAATATACGCTCGCAGGCGCGGCAGCGCGTCAGCAGGGCCCCCGGATCCTTCCGGTAGTTTTGGCAACCTTTCATATGGCGACGCAGCAGGTACCTGTACATTTTTCTCATTCATTAATTCCGCTCTTTATTTTAATCGCGCGATTTTACTACGACTACGATTAAAGAAGTAAAAACTCGTAGGAAGCAACTGTTAATACTACGATTGAAATTTTCAAAAACGCGATCGATAAAAATTCAAATGATAATAAATGAATATGAGAACGGGTAAGCTGGATTACTCCTAAATACGTTAAATTCTGGATGATTTACACTTGGGTAATCGCAGCTCGAGCTTTAACTAGCTTAAATAATCATCAGACCATCGTCCAGCCTACCTCTTATGAAAGGATTTGTTGCATTTTTCGCAGAAGTGCAGCACATCGTCCTCGGCAGCGGCGGCTGCGGCTGCTGCGGCCGCAGCTGCATTATAGCTGCTACTCTTGTAGCTCATGGCGTCCCTTATTTCGCTTTTGAGCTCGGGCTCGTATCGGTGTATCTTGGCAATGTGAGCCGCGAGGTGATCCTTAGAGGCGCTGGTCTTGAGGCAGAAGCGACAGGTGACGTCCTCGTGGCCTTTATGCACGCGGTTCACGTGCTTCCAGAGATGTGAGGTGCGCCCGTAGCACTTGTTGCAAAGATCGCAAGGGAAGAGGCTGTGGGCCATGCGTCGATGGTTGCAGAGATCCTCCAGGCAGGGGAATTTGAGGTCGCCGCACATTTCGCAGCTAAGATCGATCGAGGCCGGCTCCACGGGCTGCGGAAGCCCGTTATCGAGTTGCAGCGGTACCGGTAGCCCTGAATTCTCGTAAGTGTCTAATTTGATTTTAAAAACGTGTTTGAATTAATAATTATTTCACTATTGACACCCTAGACTTCATTATCAATTATATTATTAAGTGCACGATTTGTTTATTGAAAACTATGGCTTGATATATTTTTCATAAAACAACATTTGATGATGATGATGATGATGATGATGATGATGATGATGATGATGATTATAACAACATCAATAACAAAAGTTATTTTTTATTAAAATTATTCGTTAAAATCTTCTTTCTTAGGAATTAAGTAAGCACGCAACGATTCAGTTTAAAAAATTGATTGAAGTATATTGGTAAATTTGGAATTTTGCATCTTTGAATATACTGTATTTATGGTAGTCGCAACGTTATAAAAGACTTAATTTGAATGTGGAATAATGTAAATCCAGTGTATAACACTTAAATTTATAAACAGCCTAATTCGTTGGCATTGCCGTTTTGTAAGAACGAAGACGTTTGAATTTGAAATTGACCTCAACAGATTTTCAATATGCATTGTAGACCTCGCGCTCGTGCTTTGCTTTATTACGTTAAATTATATTGTGATTATGTTACTTCTTAAAGTGCAAAACGGTGTAGTTGAAAAATCGTGGTCTTAAAATAAAATAAATACTGACCGGATATATCGTTCATCGACGCGTCATTGATAATGAGACTGCTGTTGGTCGCGGCCGGATTGTAGGCCTCTCCATCGAGACCGTGGATCTTCCTGTGCCTCGACATCTTGCTTTTGTTCGAGTAGGGCCTGCCGCAAATGTCGCAGCTGAAGTCACCGTTCGTAAGGGGCCAGTGTTTGATCTTGACGTGCTGGCTGAGCTGCAGCACGTCAGGGAAGACCTTGAGACAGACACCGCATATGAGGGGCACCGTGTCCGAGTGCACGCCCATCACGTGCTTCCAGTAGTCGACGCGACTGCCCCAGAGTTTGCCACATATTTCGCAGGTATTGGGCGAACTGCCCTGAAGCTGGTGATGCTGCGCGTGCTCGTTCCGTAGAGTCTTCGTCGCGAAGATCTTGGCGCAGTCGTCGCGCTCGCACTGTAAGCAGCGATAAACGTTTATAATAGAGAGCTCGTGGCTAGGGATTAACGAGGATAACGTTGGTGATAAGGTTTTGCTTTGACGTACTTTGATGGACGGCTCGTTGCTGTGCATGCTGCTGACGTGGAGCCAGCGCTCCCATTTGCTGGGGTGCGAGCTTCCGCAAAGCTCGCAAACGAAGAATAGGTGGTACTGGGCGCGATTGCCGGTACCGTTCTGTCCGGCAGCCGCACCGTTACCACCAAACTCACCCATCTGAATCATCTGCTCGGATTTGTGAGCATTTCGTTGATGACGTATGAGGTGGTCCTCGTTTGGGAATGATTTGTAGCAAATGTAACAGTCCACCTTTTCGCTCTCGTCGTCACAATCCATAATAAGATCATTTCCTTCGTTGCTGTTGACGTTCTCGTTGTAGTAATTGGTATTTAGTTGTACAAAGCTCGCGGGATCATATCCCGGATCCACATTGTGAATGGACACATGCGTTATGAGCTTTTTACGCGAGTCATGCTGTCTTCCACATATCGTGCAACTGTACCTGTAATAGCCATGCAAGGGAGTGCTCTATTATTATCGCTATTATATATGTTTATTGGCCTGGTCATTAAGACCTCGGTTAGAGCATCGTCAATTGTACATAATAATGCTGGCGTACCTTCTTTGTTCGGACATTAAGAGTTTCGAACCTCCATGATACATATTGACATGATTTAATAATTGTGCATTGTCGGAGCAAATCTTTAGACAAACTCCGCAGGCGAATGCCGCGTATTCTTTGTGAGTTGCTCGAATGTGCAGCCAAAGAGACGCTCGATCATTAAAGTCTCGCGTACATATTTCGCAGACAAAGACCGTCTCTATTTCGAGCATATTGTCGTTCCCATTTTCTGGCTCGTCATCGTCGTTCTCCATATTCTGCAAACAGCAGCGATTTTAAATATTTAGTGATTTTAAATAGATTAGAAATAGAGGAGAAAAAAAAACGAACGAAAAGAAAAGAAAAAATTAATTTTCATTAAAAATAAAAAACAAAACATAAGAGGTGAATTTTATTAAAAAATTAAAGGCAAAGGGAAAAAGCCGACTTCCTATGCAGCCTTAAATTAAATTAAATTAAATTGTAGTACAAACTCCTCGAAAACTGGTATAATTAATTTATGAAAATTAAACAATGGCTCTATTGTCACACGAGATTATTCTTCCACTCTTCATTACCGTAATAATAACAATCGTTAAGCGAGCTTATGAAATTTGAGTTATTCGAGGAAAAGTATCGAAATGCATATCCATAGAGTGGTAATAGAGTGAAGAACGAATAATATTCCTGAGTGGCGCTTTAAGAAAAGTATCATCCAAGCTCGATGTAGCGGCCTCGTGCTGCCCGTTCTCGTGAGAAAAGCAAAACTCCATGAAATTTAGTTGCCAACTGGAGTTAATCGGTTGATCACGGATACGATGACACGTTGACATAAGTATATGTAATAGAATATGTAATAGATCTTGTTTGCCGTGACGAGTGACGAGTAACGAGTCACGTTAACGACACTGATAATAATTTTCTAAAATATTTGCATTCTAATTGTCATTACTCATCCGAATACTCGGGGAATATTCGGATATCACGAAAACCGATCTTTTGCATCTTGCATAAACATAGGGACGATACACGTTGATAAAATTACGAATGAATATTAAAAGATTTTCATTCGTTTTAACGCAAATGCACTTTTCCCTGGGCATTGCCGATGAATTTGCCGCTCGACTACTCAATTTTCACTCTTAAACAGCTACTGCTTATCTTAATATAATAACTTACATCTGGTGAAAATGGCGATGTGGAATTTTCTTTGGTAATGTTTTGTTCCTCTTTTATCACGAGTGGCTGTGCATTTGGATCTAGCATTGACTTTTTCAAGCACTTATCACTCTCGATCAGTGGCGTCGGATCCACACCGTGGGAGGACAGTATATGCCTGCTCAATGACGACTTTAAGACAAAGTCTTTCTCGCACAAAATGCATATATAAGGCTTGTCGGCATCGTGAGTCTTCTCGTGTTGTCTCAGATCATCGGCAATCGCAAAGTTCAGGGGGCACACTTCGCAATACCATCTCTTTCCATCTGAATTACTCCCATCTGTAGATATATTATTATTTATTCTATATGCGTTTTCCATAATGAATTATCAAGCATATTAATCATTAAGCATATAAATTTTACGCTAAAATATTTTGAATATCGTATGCGTTAAATTAATAAATATTCATTTGTATGAGGATGCCTTTTAAAGTAAAGAAAAATTAATCGAAATGAAAGCCTCTCGATAAAATGTAAAATTTAAAAGATTGAATTGAGAAAGAATTGAGAAATAATAGAGACAATGCAATGTAAATGTCATAAAAAACGACAGCACACATTCCTCGAGATATTGAATTTTTATTTGTTAATAAGACCCTCGTCGTAAAGAACAACGCGCATCGTTTAGATAATATATTTGTAACATGACAAATAGCAAACATTTAAAAAAATACGGTTAAAGATATCATTAATACATTGACGACAAGGTGGATAGAAGACAATTATTAATACTATTAATTTAAAGTAACTCGAAAATTTTTAAGGATTATAAGAGTCATGATTTACCTTTATTGAACGCATTGGCTTGTTTTTTTGCTTTGCTCAACATTTTCTGCCTTTCCTCGTATTCCTTTTTTACGCTTTCACCCTTAATAAGAGCTTGCTTAAGAATAGTCAATTGAGGATTCTTTGCGAGCTTTGCTTCGGCACTTTTGTAATCTTTGTTCTCATAGTCTGAATCAATACTGGATAAATCTGAATTTGGCTCCAATGCATTTTTAAGTTTTGCTGCAATTAAAACAAAATACATATATTTCGTTTGCTGTACATATATATATCTTTTTTTTTTTTTTTAAATTCTAACTTATTGTAACTAAAGCAAGAAGATATGCTTCGTTTACAAATTTTAATTTAATTGTTTTGATTAGAGAAATGATTGAATAGATTGGATAAAATTCAGCGTATATCTAAGCATCGTGACTTTTATCAAATATTCTATCATTTTCAAAGCATTAGAAAGAAAATTCTATAAATAAGGTGAGAGAATAACTAGTGAGAATGCCATCAATAGAAAAATGTTCGTAAAAACGAAAAGACGTTGTTGTCATCGAAATTTGAAAAATTTCAATAATATTGAATACGAATAACCGATATTATCGCGATCGAGCTATTATTTCAATGCAAAACTACTGAATATCGTGTAACGATGAATGCAATTAATATACAAAAACAACGATAAAGTCATCTTCCTTGGGCAACGACGCGGATGAAATTTATTTAATTACGCGATTATTGCCAATGACATTAGTTTTTTTTAAATTTGTAATAATTATATATAATGTGAAGCTTTATCGTCGACATGTTTTCACGATCAATGAGCATTGCAAAGCGTAATTTCTATTTGAAAAAAAATAAATAAATAAATAAATAAATAAATAAAAAAACCATTAATATTAAACGTCGACGATACTTTTTTTTTTATTCGAGAATTGCCAAACATTCCCAATGCCTAGGCGCGACGAAAGAATTGCAAATTCGGCAAATTTCGTCGCCGAAGAAGCACTATATCTATTGCCTCCTCTAGTTACAATAATCGCTGCTCAATAATACAGAAAATAATATCATACTTACACCTCGTATATTTCTTACCGAAGTTCTGGGAGTTGGTGCTATTATTGGCCATTTCCCTGCGCTGCTGCTCGCCCAGGCAGACTCGGCTGTGCTTATTAAGGTCCGTGATGTTGGTGTACATCTTGGGGCAGGTTTTGCACTGGTGCCGCGAGTCCGGCTGAATATAAGGAACTGGCATTTCCGGGGGCGGGGGCAGACCCGCGTGTCGCGACTTTATGTGCTCCTCGAGGTTCGTGCGTGTCGAGTAGATGCGCGAGCAGTAGCCACAAGTCACCGCGGGATGGCCTCTGAAATAAATATACATACATGGGATTTCCATGGGACGCAACAGAAACGCAGATCCGTGGGATGCCGATCCAACTTCCACCATTATAAATAACACGAGCTGCTCATTCACGCCTCTCACACCCAAATTAAATCAATATGGGGTTATGTTTATTGCTTGTTCGTTCGTATCACAACACCAATATCGTTAAATCATCTCCCATTACTCCTCGAAATTATAAAGCGACCTACTAGCATTTCTATGCGATTGGGCAATTCTAGCTCCGTGTGTTGTTTACCCGTCGAATGCGCTCCACTACTACGCTAAAGATCCCGCACAGGGGGTTATAGAGTTAAAGAGAGGTGGGGGCCGCTCGCCCCCCGCGAGTTCCAAAATTAAAAGCCCCGCGCGTGATGACAAATCGAAAGTCAGCTAGATTTCAATGCGAGAGACGCGAAAGTTGGCATACTCCTCGTGTCCCGAGAAATCCGGACAAAGATCGTCCTCGCAGCGCGCGCTCTGCATTACCGACGAAGCCGGGAATGCGCGGCTGGCTGTCGCTCCCCCTTACCGATGCGTCGTCGACACGTGTCCCCAGCGATGCTTGGCCGTTGAGTAGGACTTGTTACATAGGTCGCACTGGTACGGCCTCTTGTAGGATGTGTGGTCGTCGGTGATGACCTTTTCGCCGATGACGTCGCCCGCGCCGACGTGAATCCGGGCGTGGAGCGACAGGTGGCCCTTCGAGCTGAAGGCCTTATTGCAAAGTGAGCAGACGTAGACCTCGTGCTGCTCGTTGCGATGCTGGAAGACGCCCGTGTCCTGCTGATGCCCGAGAACTTGGCCGCCCTGGGGCAGTACGTGCTCCTCCTCCGGTACCATTGCGCTCATCTCGAGGAAGTCGCTTGGATTTGTCTCCATGTCCATTTCGTACTCGTCCGACTTATGGTCGTCCTGGTCGTCCAGTCCTACTGAGAACAAAACGCTTGGTTGATCATGCTTTTTCCTCCTTCGACTTGGCCGACCGACGCCAACTGGGGTTGGCAATTTCATAGCAGTGGTTTAAGAGACCCGGGGATGATGAACTTTTGTACATTTTGCATCTCGTATCTCGTAAAGTGGAGTCTTAAGAACTTTATTTATTGGAAATATGATTTAAAAAAAAAAAAAAAAAAAAAAAAAAAAAAAAAAAAATAGCTCGTATATTTGGCTGCGTAAAACTCAAATAAGAAAATGCGCAAACATTGAACGTGATTGTGTAATGAAATTAAAATAGGGCTGATTAAAAATTATATGGAATAATAAAACTTAAATTGGGTATTAATTTATCAGCGAATTTTGGCCGAATTATCGTGTAATCGACAACTGTTAATTAATTCACTTGAATTATTGCCGAAAAAAAGTATGGTGCTCGGAATATTGCATAACCCATTAAGTATGTTAATATTTATTGGTCGTGCTGATATACAATATATCGCGTGCTTCCAAATTTCACGCTTTTTCCAAATTCGAACTTATCATTGATGTTTAATTATCGTAATTGAATTTATTGTAGGTGCTCCACACTAATAATGACATTGTTATATCACGTAAACGAACAATTAAAAGTACGTATTATCCAATTCGATAAATATGAAATTAAACTGAGGTGTCATGCCACCCTCTTAGTGTCATCATGTAATCTTGAAGAAAACCGTGCCACTAACTGGCGTGTCAAGCCAATAATTGGGAATATAAACGTTTGGTTGAAGGATAAAGAAATGAAGAGAGAAAAAAAGTGCCAGTAAACGAGCGCCTTAATCAATCGCTAAATATAGGTAAACGAAAAAATACAACTGCAAGGCAATAGTTAAAACGTTAACGGGTCGTAAAGCCATGATGAGGCACACTCACGTCCGTCACCCATGTCGTGCTCCTGGGTTAGATCATCCATATCGTGCTCGTGTTCCCCGTCAGAGAGAAGTCGCGGTGGGGTACCAAGGGCTGCATTAGGATTAACGACGGACGCCTCGGGGATGAGCATCGGCATATTCTCCTTATCCTTTAACAGCTCCATACGCAACTCGGAATACGGCTCAACATCGTCACCCTCCTGCTTGATGGCCGTCTTCGCCTGCAAAAATTATCATCTTCACCCTCCGACACTTCGCAGTTTATTCTTAATATTTTAAAAACTACTACCGTTGCCCCCACCGCGTTCCCCACCCCCTACCATCACCCATCTATTACTCTAATCCGCCCCTTATCATTCTTATCAATTACTCTATCCATCTATTTTTCCGTGCACGTGTGCCCGTGCGTAAACATCGTACCTACCTCTCTTTTTTTTTTCTTTTTCTCTTTTTTTTTTATTACACCAGGCTCGAATAAGCTTGACAAATTACTTTTTATCTGTCCATTTAAACGAATAATTATATACCAGCCACAATCACTTCATTAAATCTCAATTCTCGTAATAGATATTAAAATGGCGTTCGGCTCGATACTACTGCGGCAAATAAACCTGCGATCAATTATTTTAAGGTTCGGAATTCGCATGGTTTTCCTGTCATCGTCGCTCAAAACACAATCATGAGCTGAATATAGGTAAAGAAAGGGACGAAGATATCGATACGAATGAACAATTTTATCGCGAATAGATATTTCTAGAAGGACGGGAAATTATAAAATCGTATACGATACACGAAAACAAAAGGAATTTCAATAATCTTAACATTTTGCATTATTCTGGACTCTATGTGTGGTTAGGTATTCCTTCTTGAATTAATTTTATCAAATAAATACAGTGTTAATTTAATGAATTTATACGAAACTGTAACAAGACTTAAAGGAAACTTAAAGGAAAAAAAAGACAACAACAAAAAAAAAAAAAAAAAAAATTAATTGCAATAATAATAAAATTTCATAATCAAGAATAATGAAACAATTTATGATATTATATTTTCGAAACATATGAAGAGTCGTGCGACATTTTTATAATCGATAGACAGAAAACTAACGTTTCCAATGATTAAATTAATTGTTATCCGTATATACTGTATTTACAGAAAAACAAAAACATTATATAAATTTTGTATAAATATCAAAATATTGATATTACGTTATACTATGGACGATAACAATCGTAATTTAAAAAAAAAAAAAAATGCGTGAAAAATGTAATATAATTAATTATAAGTATTCAAATTGGAATAACAAGTTTTGTCGGAGCGGCAAATTATATAATACAGTTTTCAAGTACGATAATTATATTTATTTCTCATATGCTCGAATCAAAAACTGGTCCCATAATAATAATCGTTATTCAACCCAACCCATCCGATTCAATCCAATCATTTATTCAACTTTATGATATTTATATTTAATTGTTTTACGATCTCTTACACAGTCACTTTTTATGATAAATACAATGAAAAACAATAATAACAATAGAAAAAATAAAAATGTCTTCATGCGTCAATGGCTGAGTAGTCATTATTAAATACTCTATTTTGTCAAATGTAGTGTGTTCGCCATAAATTCGTACGATATGTCATATTAATTAGAGGTCGTTGATATTTTACATTGTGTAGGAAATTTGCAATATTTTCTTCACTAGAGAAATTCGAATGAAATTTTGTTTTCCTTTTCATAAGCATCAGCGAGCTGCAATGACATATTGATTTTTTTCTTTCTCTTTTTTTATTTTTATTATTTTTTTTTTAAAGCTTGGGCATAAAGTGAAATTGTCCAAAGGCGTAAATGTTAGTGAAACATGCGGGGTTTGTTTTTAACAAATATGATTTTTATAATGTTGATAACCGAATCGATAAACAAGACTGAAAATAATATATTGTGAAATGCATTTCATTATCAATCAATTGACATAACGTTTGTTCATTACTCATATTTATCATATAGCCAACTGACTTTGGGGAATAACAGTGTTTACTGGTTACCGAGCTACCGTAAAATTTCATATATACTTCTATCCATCGAGCTTTTTATATTCGACCATTATAATTACAAAACTAATTCCGTAGCTGACCTCTTCCGGTGGTAAGCATCTTTCCAGTAGAGCGACCGCATTGACGCAAGCCGTTCTAAAGTCATAGAAGTTCTCCAAATTGTACATGCATCTATAGCAAAGGCATTTCGGCAATCTGTCATCTTCAGCTATCTGTAAAAGAAAATGAAATTCACGCAAATAAATAACGTGGATAACAAAACATAAAAAATATATATGGTAGCACTGCGCGCGTGCTAGGCACCAAAACAAAAAAACAAAAAAAAAACAGGATTACTAACATTGTGGCCCAAAGAGCTCGAGTGTCACTTATATGACGTATATAAAAATTCACAGCGGCAGGCTGTTGAATTTATTTGCTTTTGTGATTTTGAGAAATCGAAAACCTCAACATTACATGCACACGCGCGCGCACGTACACAGTCACACAGCACAGCGCACCCTCATAATCGCAAAGATTACTTATTCGGCATACGTCTCCGGTAATACGAAATAATGGTAAAGGTGCACTTTAATCGGTAGACATAATTCTCGAAGCCAAACATGGTCGATCGTGCATTTTTTTTAAACAGTTCTCTTCAATTCTTAATTTGCCATAAAAAAAAAAAAAAAAAAAAAAAAAAAAATTCTTAAATGCGTCTGTCTCTACAAAGGTAACCGCGAAATTTTTATATTCTTCTCGTTTTTATAAATGTCTTGTTGTACCATAATTCGTCACACACACACACACACACACACACACACACACACACCTCCCGCCACGTACTCCACCGTCGTTCAAACTGCTTCAACAGGATACTAAACCAAAGATAAAATTGTTCGGCCTCCGTACGCGATAATAATTCTTTTTTTACTTCCGTTGGCCAATATTCGGGCCAAAAAGACTCTTGGCCCGATCCCACGCTAAAATTAATTTCTTCACTCTACGGGAGAAGATGCGTTTCGCATTTTGCGTATCGTACGTACGATTAGCATAATAAGCGTAGTCTAGTTTTCAGTCTATGCGGCCATGACGAGAAAAGTACCGAGTCAAGTATGGAGAGGAGTGCAGAAATTTCATAATTATGCTAACAATCGCACGATTGCGCACGTTAAACTCGTGCATCCCTCGAGCTGCGCAACAGAAACGACCATTTACAATTGTCGCTGCATTTAACGACAAGAGTATTTAATGAGTTTCTCATAATCATCGGCCTCGAATGGCAAACGATGTAGCCGCTCGAACATGACAAGTACATAGAAAATCTCACAAGGAGACCCCACGAGAATCTTGTGGAAATCATTGGTCTCGCTACACCCGCGACACACGTACGGCAATTAATTGCCAATGTTCTGAAAGTCTCGGATGGAGTGACTCGCGACTGGTAGTAGACACGTAGAATGGAACGCGGCCATAAATAAAGTAGCGATCACGTGCGCGCGCGTGCGATCGGTAGTACTACGCGCGAGGGATCTCGCGCCCATTGATCTAAGGAGAGCGACGGGGGCAACGACGGCGACGTCCAATCGGAGAAAGTAAACGCCTGCCCTCGGCGTATACCGTTTAACGAGGTGTGTGCATATGGGTCAAGGTGCGCGCGGCCATTGCATTTGTTCACGTACGCGCGAGGATGAGGACGAGCTTTTTACTTTCCTTTCGTAGTGTAGCTGTCGTGGCAGCTGCTCGCGACTCTTCCTCTTCCCTCGAATTCGTAATTATTGCCAACTGCCTTTGCGATCGCTAAGGTTTATGATGGAACTTGCGAGCTTTGTTCGACGGCGCGTTCACTCTTATTTATTTCCTTCGATATTGCCGGCGGACGTTCGTTCGACGGACCATATTATCCTCGGCGGAATGGGGACACAATTTCAAATGGGCTGGGTGCGCGAGTTCCCAATATCGAAGGACGCGATTTAAGGTCCTTTTTTTCTTTCTTCTTCTTTGTTTGTTTGTTTGTTTGTTTGTTTGTTTGTTTTTTTTTTTTTTTTATATTATTTAATGGTTTTTGTTCATAGTTTTTTTTTTAAGCTATAAGGGAGAAAAGAGGGAGACTGCTCGACTAGGTGCTTATTATCGACTTGCGAGTACCATTAATACGAGCCTGGCCAGCCAATCTCAGCCTTCGATGTTCAAAACTAATGACTATTGATTTATAAGATCTACAAAATATTATAAATAGTTCTATGGCTTCCGTATGAATAATCGATCGGCGCGCGCGGCGTTTATATAGCGCTGTAATTGTAACAAAGACGGTGTAGTTGTTAAACATAGACGTTAATTCGAAAAGTTAATCTTAAAAAAGTAGAGGCAAATTAATCGAAGATGTACAGGACCGACTCTCGTTCATTAAATTGTATTAGTAAGGCAGCTTTAGCCATGAATACAGCAAACTCGTATAATAAATATACTTCGGCTCTCGTAAGCCGAAAAACACTGTAATTTCGATTTACGACTAATCCAAGTTGCACAGTTATGCATCCGATAACCATTGACATTTCAGTAAAAAGCCATAAAATTTGACTTTTATCGCAATTGGTATACTATTATTGATTTTGAAAATCATTTGCCCTCGGACAATGCAAATACAATCGTCATAGCGGGCTCTTCTCGGCAAATTCCATTTTATTGTTCGGGACTTCCTAATAACCACCACCATAGATATAATCAATATCGTAAAGAAGGATTGCGGATGGCCTGCTTTCCAAGGCTATTATCCACTTCCTTATCGATTAAACTTATAGTCACCGTAAGCATGAAAAATAAAGTAAAAAATAATGGGAGTAATAATTTGTTATCTCGCTAAAATGCCAAGCTCTTGACGAGCCACGGACCAATAAATCCGCGGCAACGGTTACGCACGTACAAAATTGTCTAATCGTCCGTCCGCAGCAACAACTCAATTTCCAGCAGACTTACTTATCAGTCGGGAGAGTTGTTGAGTCGCGTTTACAAGCGCAGTTCTCGGAGTAAAGAGAAACGCGAGTATTGCGCGCCGTGATTAAAAAGAGTCCTAAAGTCGAATCCGCAGAGAGGCGACACGAGCGATAGAAGCGAGATCAGCGAGCCAGCGAGCCAGCGAGAGAGACAGACAGACAGACAGAGAGAGCGAGCGAGTGAGTGAGTGAGTGAGAGAGAGAGAGAGAGAGAGAGAGAGAGAGAGAGAGAGAAAACGAACGAAACACGAGGCACCCCGTGCTCTGCCACATCAGGGCGTCGCACGGACGGAAGAGTCCAAGCCGGCTGGAGCGCATTTTTGCCGCAGCGAGGCGTTCCTCCGGGCGTCGTCATCATCCCCGTTGCGTAAGCCCGAGTGAGCGGCGCCGGCTGCGGCCCCGGTCGCCAGGTGCGCCCAGAACCGGGTGCACGCCGAGGTGGAGGGGATCGCGGGGCGTATCGAGCGAGAGCTCGGGCCTCGGGTCGACCGGACAGCCTTCGCAGCACCGGAGCAGTTCCTTCCCTCCCCGGTCGCGTCACATCCCCCTTCTCTCTTCGCCCCCCCCCGCCGCCGCCGCACGCCTCCCTCGCGCCGCCCCTCGAGCGTGCGGACTCTGTCGACTCTTTTTATTTCCTGCGGCGGTTCGGCATTTTTCGGCAGCATCACCGCGGCTCCGAGGCGCTACACGAGATGCGCCTCGTGTTAACTCACCGAACCGACCAGCGCCCGGAATCCTCTCCCCCTTCTGTCGCATCCATATCCTCGCACATCCCCAGGCTCGCCAGCAAAATTTAAATGCTCTTTAAAAAAGTTAAAAAAAAAACTTTAAATTTAAAGTTAATTTAATCCGCGGCCGCTATTTTCGTGGTCTCGGCCTAACGTCGTCCACGAATCGAATAGCAACGGGAACGGCAACGGGAGATTCTTTATTCGAGGACGGCTCCTATTGTTACGAGGTCTAATTCACTTGGACGGAATGCGCGCGAGTCCAAAATTCGCGAAGCATCGGTAGCCCTCGGAGACGAGGTTCCGTATGTCAAGCGCCAGTGAAACTGGAACGCCGCGCGTGCGAGGGAGAGCGAGCGCCGACGACGACGAAGCTCTTTTTTCCTCGTAGGAAGGAGTGGAGCGGCGGGGTGGTGGGAGAGGGGGAGGGGGGCGATGCGAAGGCCCTCGGCTCGCCGCCTCTCCTCCGCGCCCGGGACAGCGAGAATTTCCTGTTCTTGTCGCGCGCTGCGCCGTGCCGTGCCGAGGCGAGTCGAGGTCAAGCGAATCGAGGAGTTGAGCAAGTCAGATAAACGCGAGTGGCCGTCGTCGCCGACGTCGTCGCCGTAAGCCGAGTCCGCCTCCTTCTCTCTCTCTCTGCTCTCGAAGCTTCAACCGTCGCTGCTGCGGTCGTTCTCTGACTTACCGGCACGCGCGCCAATCCTCCCCGAACATCATTCATTAATGATTGTAAATCCTCGATTGGCCATTTCCTTGATAAATGTCCCTTACAACCGGCAAGGCCGAGTCAACGAATCAAAGAACCATCTTGCCTCGGTAGTATTTCTGCTTTTACGCTCTTTCGACAGGGGATAATGAGCTTTCTGAAGCCTCTTACTAATATCGCTTTTTACTTGACGCTGGTAAAAAATGGGAATTTAACGCTGAATCGAGCTTTTATTAATCATAACATGCGTTGGTACGATATATTATGACATCCCATTGCGTAACTATTGTAAATCTGACATATAATAATCATCGGCGCATAAGTAATGCTAATTTAGGAGAACTAATTGTAGGTCAAGGAAGGACGAGGTGTTACAAATTACAAGTCGATGTATAAAATGATTAATTTGAGGCTACAAGACGACGACGTAACGCTTGTGCCATAATGAACGAATTCTTGATGTTGTGAACTTATCGTGTATTTGTAATTCAAAAATCACAATTAACTTCGTACCAACAAATATGGATACGAAACGTACACCTCGCGCTGGGCTGATGATAATTCAAAAAACCGCTAAGGAAGGTATTGAGGTACGAGTGAAAATACTAATCATGCCTTCTTTTTTTTTTATTACCATATTGGTGGCTAAATTACTATCACTTTTTCGATAGAATTATCAAATGTATTCATCCCTTAGGCGCCGATAAAAGAAAATACTTATAGAGAAACGGTGTCATTTTCTGAAGAAATATTCTGATATTTGATAGTTCGCCGCGTTAGACGTTGTGAAGTATTATGAAAAATTA